TTTTTTAAATCAATTATTATTCTATTATGGTTATTTATATATTTACAACTACAAAATGCATTTTTCAATGTTTTACTTACTAAAGTTTTTTTTTTTTTCTTTCGTCTCCTCCCTGGTTCATATGGAGATTCTAGCCTTAGTTTGCTTTCTCTCCGTTATTTTTTTTCAATGTACTACTTAGCTTTAATTTGAGTGTGTTTTTCGTGTTGGAACGGATTATTTGGTTTTACATGTAATCGTATGGGGAGAAAAATGATTCACCTTACGACATTTTCATGATACGATCTCAGTTTCGGAACGGATTAATTTCGTATCCTGAGGTACTACTGTAGTAATTATTATAAAATGGTAAAAAGCTTAATTTTGAGGGTAGAGATGAGTTTTACAGGAAAAAAATTGTAAATGCTATAATGAGTAAAATCATTAAGTCCAACTCCATTCGCGATATGACACATGACTCCCCTTCAAATCTCACACCTTCTTCAATCCCTAAATTTCCTTAATAAAATGTAATAGCCTTAATGCCTCTAATATTCCTAAATTTCAGAAATTTTTGACAAAAAGCGCCGGAGTTATTAAGCTACAAAGTAGATGAACAAAATCGTACCCAATACGCACACCACACTGCAGTGGCGTAGCGGGCGTAGCGTAGTGGGGGCGGCAGGGGCGGCCCGCCCCGGGTGGCACTAGGGAGCGGCAAAATTTCACAATAAATAATAATAATATCTTGTAAAAATTTGAAACATCCTAACCTATATTTGCATCGCGCCTACGATAGTGCTATCGTCCGGACAATCCTGGAATCGGCTGGCCGGGTGAACTAGTAACTTTTTGTCCGAGGAATTCCTGCGAAACCTGTTGACTTTTTTTTTTCTTTTTTTCTTGAACGATTCATTCGCGTTCATATACACCACTAATATCNCATCGCGCCTACGATAGTGCTATCGTCCGGACAATCCTGGAATCGGCTGGCCGGGTGAACTAGTAACTTTTTGTCCGAGGAATTCCTGCGAAACCTGTTGACTTTTTTTTTTCTTTTTTTCTTGAACGATTCATTCGCGTTCATATACACCACTAATATCCAATAGAACTATTTTAAACAGGAAGCTGCACTACTACCGAATTTTTCATTGCTTGTTCTGTGGCAAAACTGAATTTTGGTCTTTTAAATTGAAATACCTAAATAAGGGGGGGGCGAAATTTTCCTCCGCCCCGGGCGGCTGACACTCATGGTACGCCACTGGAGAGTGTAGCGAAATGACGTCACGAGCAGTGTTGGTCAATTAGAAACCAGTTTCAGTGTGTTCGCTGTAAAGCGCTTCTCGAGCGCTACATAAAGAAACGCGGGGACATTATTCTTCGCATTACAAAATGACATACGCATGCGTCAGGAACTTCTGTTCGAACAAACCTCACCTGCCATCCGGGTCAGCGATTTTAAAAAAGTGGCAACACTAGCACGGAATTTTTCATTACTTATTCTGTGACGATATTGAATTTTAGTTTTTTAAATTTAGATGCCTAAATAAGGGGGCGGCGAAATTTTCCTTTGCCCCGGGCGGCTGACCCCATGCTACGCCACTGCCACACTAACACCCTGATGTACAAAAAAACTCCTAACTTTTTTTGCATTTCTCGATGTTTCAAGGTTCCCGAGTCCAAAAATGTAAAAAATTTTGGGGAGTCATTTTCTGATCGATCGCATACTTTTCCTCTGTTATATATAACAGCCGGAAAAGTAATATTATACAGATATAATTGATCATTAAAATTTTTCAGTGTCTGAAACATAAATTAAGACACGCATAATTTTCATACGCGCAGTATTATTAGTTCTGTGAAAACAATGCACTTACTATTCTATGTATTATAAATAGATTTACAACAGAGTGATTGTCTATAGCCTAATTGATGTTGGTAACGTTTCTTGTATGCTTCTGTATTTAGTTTAAACGTGTTTGTCTTGTGTGGTAGTATATTTGTGGAATGAAAGGAAGCTCAGGAAGCTCGCATAGTCGTCGAAATTATTATCAGTTCTGTTTTTACTTACAATGTCGTCTACGGCATCTGAATTGTATTATTCTATTCAGAGGACACGAAGGAAGGTCAATAAACTCTGAAAAAAGAGTAAGAAAGGAATGATAGAGATTTACGTATTTATTTCACTCATTTCCATCACAATGTGTGTTAAGACATTCATAATATAATACGAAGGAAAGAATAAAATTGACACATTCGTTTAAAATCATGTAATGTCTGTCGAAAAGTTTGCTGCAGAGAGAAAAGTTAAATTTTCAATATTGTGAAGAAAAGTTAAAGAAACAACAGTTATATTTCAGTTTCATAGAAATTAGTCAAATGATTCACTAGCAATTTTTTTAATGGAATCTGTGGATCCGATAGATAAATGAATCAAATTCTTGAGGGATCGGATAAGAGAATTTAGCTTTCTATCAGATTCTAAAGAATCCGATTTCGAATCCACTTTGGATTCTTGTCATTTCTCATGACCGGCTCGGAATATTGAGAGTTATATTCCAGCCCCAACTAAGGTAGATCCTGTGTACGTCGAAAAACATAAATGAGGAATATCCCAGGATAATGAAATATTATTCATCTTCATACCTCTTGATGTTCTAAAGTCGTTTAGTGGGATGATCCATTAAGCTTCAAATTTAATGAATTCCTTTAGAAATTCTTTCATAGCGGGATGATCCATCTTGGCTAATGAAGCATTTCACTCTAGATATGTTTCTGTCAGATGCCGATTGAAATCTTTCATTTCTGTAAAGTCTTTATTGATTGCTTTCAGTATATTCACTACTAAAAGTTGTTCTGTGAGTTTCTCTGATGGTTTACACCTTTGAAATGGCGTGTCATCTTATCTTGATCAAAATCCGCTGTTTTGAGTTTTTTCTTTTTTTTTTGTTACTTCAAACATACCGTACAATATATCAATACTCGGATAGTGGGACTTGCTTCGTCTATAGTATAGAGTCTATACTATAGACGAAGCAAGTCCCACTATAGACTCTATAGTCTTAACATTAATGCATTCGTCGAGATTTCATCTTCATATAGTTAAAAATCTATTATTAGTAACATCGACGGAATCAGACGTTACTATAATCGTAAGTATGCGAGTCACAAATATTTTGTATATTCCAAACATATAAAAAGTAGCCCTACGTCTGCATTTATAAGTGATGTGTCAAATATGTTCGCGGGCCAGATTAATGTATGACGCGGCGGATTTGGCTCGCAACGTAGTTTACATTTTGGGTACCACTGCTTTTAAACAAATATAAACGCCGGGAGTTAAGTTTATGACTAATAAATTAGAAACCTTTTGTAAAACGAAGGAATGATTAACATCATTCGAAGAATCGCCCTGATTACTCACTTACTGGCTTTCACTTAATATATTCTTTTACGCGAAAACTTCAAATATTTTAGTGAATCAAACTTAAATAAGTCCACGAAACTGAAAACTGATAAATGTATTCACAGAAAAAATAATAATAATAATACGAAAAGGTATAAAAATTTAAATTTGTCTATTATGACCTACCTAAAGCAATTTTTTTCGGTTGTTCGACGTTGGAAATAATGTTTCAGCTGTTTCACGATGTAGCAAATCTTAAAATTAATACACGAATAATTTTCACTAATATTTATGGTATAGCTGAAAGGCAAAAAAAAATTAATCTTTAAAATTAAAATATTTATATATATTTGTTTATTATATAATGTTATATATTAATTAATTATTAATATTAATAGTGTAGGCCTATATTATAAATAATAAAGTACCCGGTACATTATATATATTGTATAATGTATATCTATATATTAATTTATTATTTACAGAAAAAAAACAAGAAATAAATATCATATATAAGATATAATTCGCAAAATCCTAACTTTTGTAATTAACAGTTAAAAAAAAAAATTATATATGAGTAGAATGCATATTATCATGATATAGTATTATTAACAAAAAATATAATTCTATTTTAAATCATTCATATATAAAAAAATATATTTTAATTATTAACTTAATTTTAACGATAACGTAATACAGTACTTTCTTAATTTTTGAATATAAATTTAACATTTTATTAAAGAATTTATATAAATTGATCAGAATGTGAAATTGTTTCGTTATATAATGCAATCAATCTTGATATAATTTAATGAATGTCGATTTTTCTAGTCATAAATTTGCACTTAAAATATTTTCAGTAAGTTAATCGTTAAACGAGATTAATTAATAAAATATTTCTGTTCACATTCTTTTATGTAAAAGCTTTGAATCATTATAATCCGATTATATAAGTTCAATTAAAATTTTCTTCCTATTAATGACAAATTAATTATAAAACGCTCATAAAATGCTTTGCATGTTGCAAGGAGAATTCGAAATTCATTTTAATAAAGTTAAGAGTAATGTCTTCTATCAGAATCTCTGCCGAAGGATCTCTTCCTTGTTATGTTTGTTATTTTAAACCTATTTTTCGTATATTAAAAAAATTTGGATATTTTTCGCTTCGAGATCAATGCCAGAAATCTCAAGATAGCTTAAAACTCGAATGGAGGAATATAATTGTGGTATCAACATTCTGCACCTGTACAGTTTATGTTCTACTACTTTTGCTCGCACAATTATTTATGGATGATTCATATAAAAAATCAGTAATTATATCAATTATAAAAATATTATTCCGGGACAATTATGTTTCTATTCTTTATATTTTATTCATCAATTGTATCAGTAGTATGCTATCGTTCTTAAGTTTTAATAATAATCAAATGAGAGAAAGGCTAGAAAAAAAATTATGTCAACTTTGGAATGACATTAATCAAAATGAACAGGATCAAAATTTTGAAAATATTACGCAAATTCAGTATTATCTCTTACGCTATTTTTCTATAGTTAACTATTTCACTTTGTTAGGCGGATTTCTTTTATGCTTAAACTACTGGAAATTTTCAGACCAATATAGCATTTTTCATATAGTTACAATAATTGCTGCATCATTATTAAATCTACACTGTACAATAATTTCTCATACTTTATTCTTTATTTTTCTGTATGTTAATTGTTATCTTATGATTAAAAAATTTGATGAAATTAATCTAACTCTTAAACAGAGTATCGAAGAAAAGAAATTAGTAAATATTAAAACTGTACATGTTAAGCATCATCGCATCTCCAAGCTAGTATACACATTTGATGAATTTATAAGCTTTCATAGTTTTATTATTTACTTTGAATTTGTTCAATTTTTATGCGTAATGTTACAAATAATTATTTCTCAAACATACAGCGATGGATTTGTATTGTTAGCAGTTGTTATTTTACTTCTTACTGTAATCAATGGTATCATTTCAGTTACTTTAATGTTTGACACAGTCTATCAAAAGGTATGCCAAACGAAATTTTTAAATTTTAAATATTATTATTATAATATACATTTTTTTATTTTAAGGCTTATAAACCAAGAGAACTATTGTTCAAACTTTCTTCTTTTGATATTCCAGAACAAACTAGATTAGAGGTAATGATTTAAATTAGATCTAATGATTTATAATTTTAGTTTAGATTATGAATATAGTTTACAAATGTGAATTTTTTATAGATAAATATATTTTTGGAGAGATTCGAAGGACCATCCATAGGATTTACGTGTCTAGATATTTTTGTCATCACAAAAGGAACACTTATAAGTGTAAGTTTATATTCATTACACCTAAATTATGTGTTATTTTATAGAATTTTTATATTTTTATTTTAGATGGCGAGTATCATACTGACTTATTTATTAATGTACTTGCAATTTACTCAAACTCGTATAAGCATGTTATTGCAATAATAAGATTTAATCATAAATAACGTCATATGTTCAAATTAATTTTAAACTGCGAATCAAATGTCCTTGAGAAAAAAACGATTTGTTTTTATTTACAAAAAATTCACAGTGATAATTATTGGATTAATATCATGTTGCAATATATCTTAATGTTAATGGAAAACAATGATAAACAATCCGAAATATGATAAATGATTAAATCTATTTACAAACAGAATTGCCACGATTTAAAATGTCTGTAAGGGATGTCCATATAAAGCTGTTGTAGCGAGTATCCAGTCAACGTATAATGGTACATTCGTATATATTCCTGGCAAATTCGGTTGAGCACATTTAATACCCCAACTTACGATGCCAGCGACAAACCAATGATTGGAATTCCAGCATAGAAGAGGTCCACCACTATCACCCTAAACGTACAAAGTCATTGAACGTAAATATGAATATTGAATATCATATTCATAACAATTTAATGCAATTACCTGACAAGCATCTTTCTTTCCTTCACGGTGGCCTGCGCAAACCATTTTTTCTGATATATGAACATCATGAATGGAATACCAGTTAACACATGTCTCGAAATCAACGATTGGTACTTCAACTTGATGAATAACAACTTGGTAATCAGCATCTGAAATTTTAAATATCTACTATAAATATATTTGATATGTTAACCCGAATATAGTAATAATGATACAAACCATCGTCATGTAATGGTTTACCCCATCCTGTTACAATACATGATTTATAACCAACTAATGATATATTCGGTTTAGGGAGACAAATAGGTCGTAGAAATTGATCAAAGTTGACTGGTTGATTCAACAATAATAAAACTAAATCGTTATTAAACAAACTAAAGGTCTTAAAATCAGGATGTTTAATGATTAACGAAACTCCTCGTTTTTGAATGAAAAAGGAGGAAGATGTTCTTCTTGTCATTCCAAGTTTTATTGTCCAACCTCCAGGATCAGTTTGACTGAAAGAATATAAAGATATAGCTCATATCGAAAAAAAATCTGTAATGCAAAAAACATATTATACTTACTTTCCAACGCAGTGAGCAGCAGACAAAACCCACCAAGGTGAAATAAGCACTCCTCCACAAAAGAACACTTCATCAGGACCTCCGTGTAAGGCTGCTAGCCAGGGCCAACTCCCTGGAGCAGATTCCTTACCACCTACAATTCTTGGAGTAGGTTTGGCTGGTGCCAGAGATACACCACATTCTAAATAAAGTTTAGTTTTTTTTATGACTGTAATATTAAAACATTCAGTTAAAATGAGAAAACAACGGAAAATTACCATAGTTTTGGCATTTTAAATATATGGTTACATTATCTCCATCGCATTTCTTTCTAAGATAAATTTATAAAAAAATATTAGAAAATAAAATAATTGTTATTGATAATATTAAATTCATATATTGCATAAAATTACTTAGATTTTTTAAGTATTGTTTGCATTTCTTTAACATCTCCCGGTGTTTTAGGAGCTATTTCCTTATATGCTTTTTCATTTTCATCACGAATTCTCGTTTCTTTCACATCTCTAAAGAAATTAATGTATAACAAATGAATAACGTAATAATCAATTAAAATATTTATTAAATTTAGATTTCTTACTTATATCCTAATATATGACAAGCCGCATAACTCATATTAGATGAATCCCAATCTTTTCCACAAATCGGGATCCACGAATTTGTTTCCCTGTTATAAACTTCTAATTTTCCTTCATTTTCAACATCCGCATTTTGATTTAAACGCACTAATCAAACAAATATTTATTAGTACTTGATTGCTTGCTATTCTCAAAATTAGTTGTATGTCCTTCGGAATTAGCATAAAGTTGCTATTGAGAACAAATCACGCAGGAACACTTCTTTTTTGATGGAAAAAGTAGGTTTATTTTCTATAATTTAGAACGGATATGCATTTCGGGCTTTATGCCCTCTTCAGTCCTTATTTTATTAAGTATATCAGTAAAAATACAATGTAAGAAATTACAGAATGTATTAAATTATATTTAACATATGCGTACAAAAAATTTTTCAAAAAATATAATTACCTAAAAAATTAATTAAAGTGACAGCTGGAATAACAATAATTAAAACAGTGAGGTAAAAGAAGTAAAGCTATAATAAATTAAAAAATAAAATGTGAAAAAATAAAATAAAAATACATATACGTACTTGTAAAAATAAATATAATTTCGTTAAAATGTACATAAACTGGCAAATAAAGGTAGGAAAACCATTAAAAAAAACCTTAAAATCAATTAAAACTGATTAAAAAATAAGGTGTAAAAGCTTTCACTGTATGTTTATCAGAAAATCTGATATTTATTTTTTAGGATAAAGTGGATTAAAATGGGTGAGAAAGGGGGAGGGGGTGGAAGAACATCTTAAAAAGGACTCTTCTATTTGGTAGTAATGGCTGCCAGATCTCACTGATGACAACGCCAGTGTTTAAATTAATTCTATGAATTTCGTTTACTTTAATAATTTCAATATGTTCAAAGAATTTTCTTTTAATAAATTTTTTTCTTTTTTTTGAAGAATTTTGACGCTGTCAAGTGAGATCTCGCCACACACTGCAATCGTGTCAGCTGCGAGATATCACTTGACAGCGTCAAAATTCTTCAAAAAAAAGAAAAAAATTTATTAAAAGAAAATTCTTTGAACATATTGAAATTATTAAAGTAAACGAAATTCATAGAATTAATTTAAACACTGGCGTTGTCATCAGTGAGATCTGGCAGCCATTACTACCAAATAGAAGAGTCCTTTTTAAGATGTTCTTCCACCCCCTCCCCCTTTCTCACCCATTTTAATCCACTTTATCCTAAAAAATAAATATCAGATTTTCTGATAAACATACAGTGAAAGCTTTTACACCTTATTTTTTAATCAGTTTTAATTGATTTTAAGGTTTTTTTTAATGGTTTTCCTACCTTTATTTGCCAATTTATGTACATTTTAACGAAATTATATTTATTTTTACAAGTACGTATATGTATTTTTATTTTATTTTTTCACAACATTTTATTTTTTAATTTATTATAGCTTTACTTCTTTTACCTCACTGTTTTAATTATTGTTATTCCAGCTGTCACTTTAATTAATTTTTTAGGTAATTATATTTTTGAAAAATTTTTTGTACGCATATGTTAAATATAATTTAATACATTCTGTAATTTCTTACATTGTATTTTTACTGATATACTTAATAAAATAAGGACTGAAGAGAGCATAAAGCCCGAAATGCATATCCGTTCTAAATTATAGAAAATAAACCTACTTTTTCCATCAAAAAAGAAGTGTTCCTGCGTGATTTGTTCTCAATAGCAACTTTATGCTAATTCCGAAGGACATACAAAAAATAATTATTTGTTATGTACTGTACCAGTAGATATTTTTCAGTTTGTACTTACGGCATTGCCTCTCATCTCTTCCATCTTCGCAGTCTTCTTTCCCATCACAAATAGACGAACTGTTTAGACATACATTTTTTCCACAATAGTAATCTCCCGGAGAACAATTGTCTGAGTAATAAGAATAATATTAATCACATTATACACAGATATAATACTTAAAAAAATAATGCTTACGGCATATATAGAACAATACATAGTATAATACAGTAGATCCCCCTATAAGACGGTAGATACGTTCCGTTCTTTATGAATCAATTTTGTAGGAATCATAGTTTACGGACTACGGCTGTTTGAAAGGTTTTCTTTCATAAAATTAATCGATTCTAGACTAATTCGACTCAACATTTCCAAAATACGTATATTTTTTTTGAAAATAATCCGTATAAACTACGTTATAAACAAAAAATTGTAGGATTGCTTACCGAGTGTGTACCGTTCGACTACGCCCGTTGCTGAAGCTTGGTTTCGTCGCGGAACAGCTCATCAAACCGCGGCCGCGATTTCTGATATTATTTTTCTGCGAAAACTTCGTTGACCTTTGGAGACATCCTTAACATAAATAATTTTTATGACCGTTAAATAAGAAATGTTTCTTTCACAAGAAATGTATAAAATTACAGTACTGGATAGACGATAGGTCGCCTAACTCGCCGTAGCGTGACGCTAGACGGCGAAAAATATATATTTAATTATAATAAAGTTACAATAAATTAAGTTAATATATAATTATATATACAGTACCTAATTTATATATAATTAATATATAATTATATGTACAGTACCTAATTTATATATAATTATATGAACAGACGATACTAAACTCAATTTATCCGCCTAAACGTCCGTGGCGTGGCGCTACGGACGGCGGGAAAGTAGTTCGGCTGCCCGATGACGTTTTACGTATTATAGGAGTTATTTTTACCGTTGTTTACGGATACTGCCACAATTTTTATAGGAATCATAACTATAGGAAACGGTTTTATAGGGAGATCTACTGTAATTATATAAATCATCTTGTTTACCGCAATTCTGTTCATCAGTCGTATCTTCACAATCAAGATATCCATCACAAATCCAAGTCTTTGGTAAACATCTTGTTTGATCACAACGGAAGCCATTGGTACAATCTATGCAATAAATGAAAACATTTGAAAAATATTCATTCATTGAAGATTTTTTTCTATAAAAGTTTTAAACGAGAATTTTACCATGAATACTTTTCTGAACATAGTAATTTTCCTGATGTCCAATACAGATCTCTGGATCAGGACTTTCTGGTAATGAAGAACAATCAATATTCATTGGCCACGATAAAGTAAAAACTCCGAGGAAAAAATCGCATTTTCTCATAGTTTCTGTCGAAAAGAGATTGTTAATATTAATATTAGATTTTTTTAAATGAAAGTATTTAGATGATTCTAATTACGAGCACTATAAAATAACTTTTATAATCGATAATTCTCATTTAAACGTATCTTATTTAATCACAAGGTTTTTAAAAAATAAATTTTAAATGTAACGAAGAAATAAGTAGGCCTAATCAATATATTACAACATATACAGATATTAAATAATTAGGCACAACCATTATCGCGTTTAAATTTCATGTTATAGCCTACTTTCTAGCTGAAATTTATTAATATTTAGTATGAACAAAATTACAAAATATGAAATTAAGTTTTCTTAATGATATCAAGTGTTAAAATATTTTTAAATTCAAAACTCTAGTGAAATCTTTCTTCAATGAGAAGGTTGTTCTTCTTCGTCTGTTTAGTTCTAAAAATATAACGAAATACTCAAAAATAAGTTCAGTATTTACGATTTTCTAGATACTATTTTGGATTTGTAAGTTAAATTTGCGTAAAAGTAATCAGTGGCTAAATGCTTTTAGCAAATGCAATCACAATGCAACTAGTTTCTGACTAAGGATCCATGAAATTAATACTAATAATTAATTACAAATATATATATTGCTTAATGACGAGAAATAAATTTTTAATTAAAAAAATAATTGATTAAGAATTTTTAATAGCAGAAAAGAATACTTCAGTAACTATAAGCGTAATTTCAAATTTAATTTCTTATTTTAAACTCTCGACAAGAAAATAGCAATAAAAGTTTAATTGAAAATTATATCAAGCACGAAAAAATAATTATTTAAAATATCATATATTGTACAGATTTTATATACATTTTAGATGTTTCGCTTTAAACTAAAAACTGAACCTATTCAAGCGTAAGATGGCGGCAGTCGTCTAGTTACTTCCGCTTAGAAAGGTCCTACGTTTAAAACAAATATATATTTTGTGCAGCTTGCATTTTATATTACTTGGATTCTAGAAACAGAATTGTATAACTGTAAATTAATTTATCAGTATAAAATATTATCATTCGTAACATGGTTATTCAAAAATTAAGATCAAAATTAAATTTTACCTTATATTAACAATGTCTACAAATAATTATTAATAAGTAACGTTCACCGTTAGTTGATTCTTACCTTGACAAAGGCTTCTACAAGGAGGCACAGTCTGTCCAGTACGGATGCACTTAGGTGCATATATAGTGCATAAAAATAGCGGTAACAAAACATAACATTTGACACTTATAAGTGGATCGTAGCGATTAATAGCTTCTGTGATTTCTATTTGACTATTATGTCCAAGTAAATTAGGTATCAAAGTATAAGAATATGGTACTTTATATTTATGGCATAAAGGCAGGCGCAATGGTTGACATTTTCCGGCTAAATAAATTAATAAAAAATCTCATACATTGAATTTCATTTAAACAACAAATATTTTTTTCCCCTGTAATACTTACTGTGTTCAATTGTTGTATTAATTTGCTGTACATTTCTGGATACTCCTACAAAATAGATTTAAAAAATAAAACATTCACACTAATTATCAATTTTAATAAAAAGTTTTTAACTTAGTAAATTATTTAATAATAACTTAAAGTTTCTCAATATTAATTTTGAAAATTTACCTTCCAAATAACATATGAGCAATGCAATTAGCAAGCATAAAATTAAAAAATTTATTATTAAAATTGTAATTTTCCATCTGCTACGAATACGAAGAAGGCTTTTCCAATGTCTGTTTGTTGATGGATTCTGTAAAATTACAAATATTTTGCATTAATTTGTATTTTAAATATGATAATAAAATCTTACTTATTTAATTATTTTACTTCTTGAGTTGTATTCTGGACGGAGTGTCTTTCATCAGTTTTATTTTGTTTATCCATTCTTCTCAGATCATTTACGATTCCATTACGCATTGAATTAATTGTTAGACAAATTAATCAAGATAACTTTTTAAAAATGTAAACAAAATGTATGATTTTGCTTTATCTCCTTTGATAAACTTGCATTAAGCTCACTGAACTGAAAAATAACAATATTTAGAAATTTAAACATAATTAAAATAAGGATAATATTTACAAAATAATAATATTTATTTGTAAATAATTTTTATTACTATTTATTTACATTTCAGCATTTGTTGACGTAAGTTAATTAAAACATTTAATTCACTTAAATAATAATTAAAATTTAGAATGAGACTAGTTACATAATGATTATGTTAAACATTTTTTAATAAAATAAAACTATTTCTTCGGATAAATTATTAATACTCTATTACATAAAACTTAATTGTCTGGAAACAAGTTTACAGGAAAAAATATATGGATATCCCCTGGAGTAACAATTGATCAAACAAAAAGATTAACTTGAAATCCAAGGCATGACATGCGATATTAAAGGATAGTCTGATATCACATGAAACAAGTTGTCAAGTTTACTTCACTTCACCATCAACTGTCCATAAAATAAATCACTGCTAGCAAAATAAGCTACACTTTAATAGAAAATTTCATCATGATAATAAATATTTATCAATCTTTTCGGCTAAAATTAATCAACATAACTAATACTTCATTTCACTATAAATTGTTGTCGTTTACTTTTAATTACTTGCAGATGTTGTAATTTAAGATAAAGGTATATTCATTATTAATAAGGCATTCGTTTCAGGAAATGAATATTTAACCCGTGGACGTTTTCATTGATTGTAGGAAATTGAATTGTATTACATGAATGAAATGTTGTAAAATTCGATACGAAAATATTAAATTGAAAAATGTTATTTTTATTTTACTTGTTAGTTAATTTTCATAAGAGATATTGAAAATTAAACAATATTGTAAATACTGCGATTTTAATTAAGATTGCAGAATAGGTAGGAAAGGGTCAATATTTGTATAAAGATCAGCCTTTACTTAACATTTCTTTCAATTTTCTCAAACCTTTTTATAAGCATATGCAAACATATTGCTGAAGGATAATGTTTATTCATTACAACGTATACAATTTTTCCAAAATTAAGTGATCAATCTATCAAGATTTATTACATGCTATATATCATTTTTATATTCGACGACAATTTGTAAATTCTTAATTTTTTAAATATGTAATTTCTAAAATATAAATTATGTTATTTAATTGTTTACTTATAATTATAAAAGTACATTTGAAATGTTAAAAATATTTCCAATTACAATGTAATCGCTTAATTCTTAAAAATACTTTTTTCTATTTTTTTTTTTTTTGCAATGAAAGAAAAATTTTTCCTTGGATTCATTCATCTGTGAAAGAAAAGAATTTTTTCTTATCTTCTTTGTCACAGATGAAAGAAAAAAATTTCTTTCATCTGTGACAAAATTCATATTTCTAATTATATTTAGCCTTTATAAGATATATTCGTACAGGATTTTTAAAGTATAAATCAAACAAATTTGAAGTAAAAATTGTTATATATTGCGAGATATCGGATCGATAGATGTGTTTCTATGTTATCATCTGTTAATTATACATAAATATATATTTTTTATGATTTTAAAATTTTAATATAGCTAAAAATTTTAAAAGCAAAAAATATTTTACGTTTTTAATATTTATTATATTAAATAATTTGAATTAATAATCGTGATATTAATGCAGTTTAAACATTATTTTAAATAGATATTCTAATTATTCTATATTCCTTGACTTATTTTCAATTTTTTTCAAGAAATTTCCTTCTTTATTTTATTTTATTTATTTGTTTTACTTCTCTTTCTTTTGAAGCAGTCAAAAGATATTCTAGTCATGTACACTTCTATTTTTCTGTAACGACTTACAGGAAAACAGAAGTGATGTTTTTCCAACCAAATTTGTCTCCACTTCACGTCATCCTTTTCCTATGTTTAGAAAGAAAATATACCTTTGATTTATATTGTAAGTTTATATGCCGCTTTCTATATTTGGAATTAAATTAGTTTAAAGATTGAGATTTAAGTGATGTACATTAGGCAAAAAGTTTATCTTACTGATATAACTGATAAGAGGAATTATTAACAGTAATTCTATTCTGAAAATAGCTAAAATACTCATGTTTATCTGTTAAATTATAATAACTGGCTAAATAATAACTATACAGAAACGTTATTTCAGATTGCAACTTTAAAATAATATATTATTAGCTAATATTAGTAAATATAATCTTAAAAACTTATTTTAAATAAGTTTTTAAAATTATTTTTTTTTAAAAAGAACATGTAGTATAAATTTACATAGCAATACAAGTAACATACATTCGCTGCAGCCTTTAGTTAAATAAGTTGATAAATAATCTATCTAAAACAGATTAAAATATAAAACTTTTTGAATTTAGTTTACACATATAAAATTTTGTAAATTTTCTTTACATCCAACTGCATAATAATTATAAATAACACATAAATATTATTAAGTTAATTAAATTTATTGTCAGATACCGTTTAATTAAATTTACGAAAAGTAATTTAAGGAGAAATGGCAAAGTTGAAGACCATAAAACTTGCCAATAAATTGTAATAAAGGACTTACAGCTCATCATGCCTGTACGTGTGAACGTCATACCATGACTGGCGATAGAATCCAGGAGACTGAAGCGAGAGAAACATTGGCGCATCCACACTATTTGTAACCATTGATTTTTCAAAGCCTTCGGCGTTTACAAATCGTCCCACTGAGGTTGTTTTAGTTTGGTTATTTTTCTGGCAATAGTTTCTTCGTTTCTTATAGAACGAATTTTTCTAAATCAACTTTCCAAACTTTAAATTTCTAAATTAAACAAACAAATTATTTTTAAAATAAAATGTTATTGCTTCTTTTATTTATAGTTTACCATTGCCCTTACTTCGAAGAATTTATTTATTTACTTATCTATTATCTTTCATTTTACTTATAAAAATGATGCGAAACTTAAATATGCATTAAATAAATAATAATAATAATTCCTTAATTTTATTTAATTGCATCCTTCATACCAGAAGAAATATTAAATAAAATAATTAAAAAATTACTTAACGTTTTATTTATTCTTCGAATTAAGTCAGAACTTTTGTAATTTTAAAAAATGAGGTCATTAATTTAAATTGCATTATATAAATTTATTTATGAACTTAAATTTAAAGATGTTTAATGATTTAATTATTAAATAGTTAACTTTGCAGACCATATATTAACTTGACGCTTTTTTCATTATTTGCTATGATTCAGAATTTAATATTTAATTTGAAATTATTACTTTTTAAAATTAGATATTTTATATAAAATTCTTCTAGAACATAAACATTAAAAAAGTATTTCTAACAGGAATTAAAATCTGTTTAAATAATTATAAATAATTTTGAATATTTTGGTAGTTTTTTTAGATTGTTTTTAAATAGATAACAATAAATGTATTTCTTATGATTGAAAAAATTCACTCAAATTTTTAAAGTAAAAAAAAAATTCAAATTTCAATATCAAGCAATCAATAAAAATTTAACCCAATATTTCAAAACTTCATCCAAATTAAATTAGCAAGTTGAAAATTAAAGCATCAGTTGTACAAAATTTAACTGGAAAAANTTTTATCAATTCATTTTAAGTTTTTGAACTAATTAAACAAGTTTTTTTAAATTTTCTCTTTTTTTTCGAAAAATAAAAACTTTAATTTTGTTTCTGAATTTTAATAGATAATAAAGGAAATATTTAAAGAATTTACGAAACGAACTAAATGAAATTAGCTTCGTTATTTTATAACCGTGTTACCCAATTATAGGCACCAATGTGGGCGTACTGTTACTTTTATTGGACCAATTTATCTTCTGTCAAATTTAATATTTTCTTAAAACTATAATTGACTTCATTAAAGAATCATTTTAAAGATTTTGTTAAGCCTGAGTATAAATCTATAATTTTTTAAAATATATAAATGCTTCAATGTGCCATTATTCTTTCAAATGGAAAATAAATATTGAAAATGTTAAATATTCAATTTTTAATATACAGTATTCAATTAATTATTCAAGATATGTTATTATTGTAAGAAATGTAATATTTTAAGACAGGGCCTTATTAATTCGTTTATCATTGAGGCGCTAGGGGGTGTGTGTGTGGGGAAGCTGATTATGTCGACTGATATTAGACATGATATCACAGTCAAGAAGGCTGGCATGGAAGAAGTCCTCTCTCTATTCTGCCCTTCTTTACATTGTTGTATATTTCTCTTAATTCCGAAAAATATATTACGTTTTGTTTTTATGGCATGGCTTCAGTGGCGCATTATAGCTTCATGGGGCTCAGGCAAATTTGAAATAGAGGTCCACAAATCAATTGCCCTTTTCTGCCCATAACAGCGTGACTTGGGAGTTGAGGCGCCTCAGTGCATTCGGCCCTATTTTACTTAGTTACAATTATTAAAAAATAGTTTTAATTATAGAAATGGCTTTTAAATTGATTAAAATTACTATTTTAGTATAAATGTTTAAATTTCATTAAAAACTCAAAAATGCATTAATGTAAATACTTAACTAGTTAAACAATATGGCGTCCTAATGAAGACGGCAGACGATTTTCTTCTATCCAATTAAAATAATGAATTTTTATTTTTAACAAAAATCATAAATACTGTTACTTTTAATATTTAAAATAAATTAATAAAAATCTTAAAATTGTATTTTATAATTTAAATAATATATTTTAATATAGTAT